TAAATTCTGCCCTTAAAACTAAAATTACAGTATAGAAAAAACTGCAACCTAAAGAAAACGGTTGCATTTGGATGCACATATCATTTCTGGAAAATTTAAATATGCATAAAATTCATTAACAATTTTTGATGCATTTTTTTTTAAAAATCGGAGAATAATATCTAATAAATTATTCAATATAAAATCAATACACTGCTGCTCAAAAATTCAAAAGTCTGTAAGAGTTTTTAATAGTAATTAATACTTATATTCAGCAAGGATGCATTAAACTGATCAAAAGTGACCGTAAAGACATTTATAATATTACAAAAGATTTATATTTTTAAATAAATTCTGTTCTTTTGAACACTTTATTCATTAAAGAATTGTGAAAAAAGTATCAGTTTTCACAAAAATATTAAGCAGCACGACTATTTTCAACATTATTAATAATAAGAAAAGTTACTGAGCAGAAAGTCAGCATATTAGAATGATTTCTGAAGGATTATGTGGCACTAAAAACTTTGCATCACAGGAATAAATTACATTTTAAAATATATTAAAACAGAAAACAGTTTTTAAGTTTTTATAATATTTAACTATTTGTTTTTACTGTATTTTGGTCAAATAAATCAAGCCTTGTTGAGCATGAGACTTTTCTAAAACATCAAAAGTTGTACCAAACCCTAAAGACATTTCTAATATGATAACAACAACACTATGTCACGTTAGTGATGATGACTCGTATGACATTTGAGTCGTCACAGTAGGCAAAATAATTACTAATATGGACACTATGTGGTTTAGTGTTCTCTCTCTCAGACAGACGCACATAAAACACAATCAGAAAAATATACATGGCACTAAAATAACAATATACATCAAATACTCAAAAATGTCCACAAATAATTCACTGGTCAAGACATTTATATATTTTCATGATATTTTTGTCAGGACCCAATCCACCATACAGTGTCCATTGGACATCACAGGACAAACTCTGACAAATTCAATATTTTTGTTTTTATGCCAGAAAATAACTTTTTTTTAATTCATGAGACCAAAAATAAGCATACAAATCTCCATCAGTTGTGATTTGTTCAATAAGTGAACACTTATGTTACTGTACATTGAACACAACAACAAGAAACAACTTGAAATCTTTATAATTATGGAACACAAGTTTATATAAAAAAAATTAATACCATCTCACTTTCTAGGTTCAAGATGTATACCAAATCATCAGTGTAGAGACTTCCCATTTGCACCCGGTTCCATGGACGAAAAAAAAAGAGGAAATAGATAAAGATTTATATCGGATCGAGTCTTGCTGATCTTGCTGGCCAACTGTAATAGCAAGAGATCAACCAACCGCTGACTTCACAGAAAAAACACCTGCAGCCGACAATCACAGGTAATTTACATCTTTCATTACACTTAATCTGCCACACCCAATAACTAGCCGGCTACTTCTGCAACGTGTTTATGATAAAGAAATATTACACAGAAGTTTATGTCCAGTAACCAGGGATGTTGTTTATGCATATGGTATTATATGTTATGAGAGACCAGAGCTATACTGTAATTCAATGGTCTTATTTAAACAATATTTCTGTAAATACACACGTATTATCCAGATTTGCCAGTTTATCAAAGAATCACTTTCTGAAACAATAATCATTGTGGAACAAGAAACAAATCTAACAAACCTGCTTAAGGACGACATCTAAAGTGGGACACATTAAGGTTTTAATATATCAGTTCGTATAGCTGAAACTCTGCATTTTGTCCTTGATTACACTGTGAAGATGTTTACTATAATTTTAATGTTACTTCATAAGGCTTTTCTGAGTATAAATAAAATGTGTACTAAAAGCAGTGGATGTAATTACTCCAAAATGTCTCTGTTCATAAACATTTACATTTATGCAATAGGCATATTCTTTTGTTCTTGTAGCTCAGTTGGCATAGGTTTAATTTCCAGGGAATGCTTGAACTAATAAAATGTTTAGTTTGAATACTGAGAGTTGATTCGGATGAAAGTGTTTGCCAAATGTATAAATGTAAAACAGAGATCTTTTGAGAGGGGTTTTCTGATGCAGGTCTACGAGTAATGCATTTTCAGTACTCGTATTCTGTTCGTAAAACTAGTGTCTACAGCAACAAAGTGACATGGCAAAAAAGGAAAACTATAAAAATAAAAAATGAAGAAGCGGCAGCCACCACCACATTCTTTAATAAACTTCCTCTATTGGGTCTCAGCACATATATTGTTAAAGATACAGGAAATTCCATCTATCATGGGATTTTTGCACCCATTTCTTGTTTGAACAGGATGTGGTTTCTTTTGCACTCATTTTAAAGGGTGCCAATTACGGGGGCTGGGGGTGTTTGAATCGAGCACATGAGTGACTGTCACAATCACAACACGAGGTATGACTTTGCAAAAACAGCACCCTGATTTATATTTGGCAGTTAAAATAATTGTTCAAGACCATTACCCATATAAGGGTAAGTGAAAAGCATGTACAAGACACTGGAGCTCAATGGGCTAAACACACCCAGGTGGAAAACACCTTTTATCACTATGCACTGCAAAATATCTATATGTGCAAAGACATCCGGTTGAGCTTGAGATAATCTGATCAAACATTTAATGATTTTTAATGATTGAGAATCGTCACATGCATTTAAAGACAAAATACTGATGATTTTCAGTTTTGTTCAGGGTGCAGTTTTGCTATTAATTTTAATTTTAATTTAGACAACTGAGTACTACTTGTAATATATAAATGTATATATACAGTTTATTACATTTAGAAAACATTTTCTTCAGCTAAACTGTACCCTACACCAGAATAAAATAAAAAAATATATAATATATATCAATAAATATAATTAATATTCTTCCCCACTTTAGGATCTACAGTGGGTACGGAAAGTATTCAGACCCCCTTAAATTTTTCACTCTTTGTTATATTGCAGCCATTTGCTAAAATCATTTAAGTTAAATTTTTTTCCTCATTAATGTACACACAGCACCCCATATTGACAGAAAAACACAGAATTGTTGACATTTTGCAGATTTATTAAAAAAGAAAAACTGAAATATCACATGGTCCTAAGTATTCAGACCCTTTGCTGTGACACTCATATATTTAACTCAGGTGCTGTCCATTTCTTCTGATCATCCTTGAGATGGTTCTACACCTTCATTTGAGTCCAGCTGTGTTTGATTATACTGATTGGACTTGATTAGGAAAGCCACACACCTGTCTATATAAGACCTTACAGCTCACAGTGCATGTCAGAGCAAATGAGAATCATGAGGTCAAAGGAACTGCCTGAAGAGCTCAGAGACAGAATTGTGGCAAGGCACAGATCTGGCCAAGGTTACAAAAAAATTTCTGCTGCACTTAAGGTTCCTAAGAGCACAGTGGCCTCCATAATCCTTAAATGGAAGACGTTTGGGACGACCAGAACCCTTCCTAGAGCTGGCCGTCCGGCCAAACGGAGCTATCGGGGGAGAAGAGCCTTGGCGAGAGAGGTAAAGAAGAACCCAAAGATCACCGTGGCTGAGCTCCAGAGATGCAGTCAGGAGATGGGAGAAAGTTGTAGAAAGCCAACCATCACTGCAGCCCTCCACCAGCCGGGGCTTTATGGCAGAGTGGCCCGACAGAAGCCTCTCCTCAGTGCAAGACACACGAAAGCCCGCATGGAGTTTGCTAAAAAAACACCTGAAGGACTCCAAGACGGTGAGAAATAAGATTCTCTGGTCTGATCAGACCAAGATAGAACTTTTTGGCCTTAACTCTAAGCGGTATGTGTGGAGAAAACCAGACACTGCTCATCACCTGTCCAATACAGGCCCAACAGTGAAGCATGGTGGTGGCACCATCATGCTGTGGGGGTGTTTTTCAGCTACAGGGACAGGACGACTGGTTGCAATCAAGGGAAAGATGAATGCGGCCAAGTAAGGGATATCCTGGACGAAAACCTTCGCCAGAGTGCTCAGGACCTCAGACTGAGCCGAAGGTTTACCTTCCAACAAGACAATAACCCTAAGCACACAGCTAAAATAACAAAGGAGTGGCTTCACAACAACTCTGTGACT